GGTTTTTCTCCAGTATGGGTCCTTATATGAAATTTAAGCGACCGATTTGTTGTAAAACATTTATTGCATGTATCACACTTGTATGGTTTTTCTCCAGTGTGGATCATTAGATGACATTTAAGCGTCCATTTTGTTGTAAAACATTTATTGCATGTATCACACTTGTATGGTTTTTCTCCAGTATGGGTCCTTACATGAAATTTAATAGTCCGTTTTGTTTTAAAACATTTATTGCATGTATCACACTTGTATGGTTTTTCTCCAGTATGGATCATTAGATGATGTTTAAGCAACCATTTTGTTGTAAAACATTTATTGCATGTATCACACTTGTATGGTTTTTCTCCAGTATGGATAATTAGATGACATTGAAGCATGCATTTTGTTGTAAAACATTTATTGCATGTATCACACTTGTATGGTTTTTCTCCAGTACGAATTTTTAAATGCTGAATATACCTTGATTTAAAGGCAAAAACTTTGTTACAGTGATCACATTTGTATGATTCTTCACCAGTATGGGCAGTTTTATGAACTTTAAGGTACCTTCTTGTTGTAAAACATTTATTACATACATCACACTTGTATGGTTTTTCTCGATTATGAGTCTTTATATGTTCAACAAAATGTGATTTATAGGCAAAACCTGTGTTACAGTGATCACATTTGTATGGTTCTTCACCAGAATGGATCATTTTATGAGTTTTAAGTGTCCGTTTTCTTGTATAACATTTATTGCAAATATCACACTTATACGAGCGAGTATTGATATTCAATCCCTCAGATGTTTTCTGCACGAATTTTGTTTGCGCTAAATCAGTAGGCTGTAACAATACAGGTCCTATGACCATCTCTTCCTTGATTTCATGATCTGCGTACAGTTCCAATTCCTCTTTCTTGCTTTGTTCTTCTTCCGCAACACCAACTGGCTCTTCTTTGATGTAAAAATTCATATGTAAATCCATGGAGCTGTTTACTAATTCGCTTGCCTCCTCCTTAACGTTCATAACATCTCTTAGGTCCGTGTACGACATTGTTAGCTGTTATAGATAATAATAATTCTTTTTCTATTTGGGGCACCGCCTTTTCTAATATTTGGTCAGGGCAGTGTGACACAGTGTCAGTTTTGTAAAAAATTTATTATTCTTGTTCTATGAAATGTTATATAGCTCTATTTATGGAACACACTTCCTTTATTTTTTCCATCCTTTAGGCCTCATTCGCTCGAACGTTTTTTCAACAGACGTTAAAAAACGTTGAAATGTGACAAATTGATATCCACGTGTTTATTCACACGAAGGCGGTTTTAAAACGCGGCGTTTTTTATCGAGCACTGTCGGATTTTCGACGTTCAGTGTTGGATGTTAAACTGAATTGAGCCAACGGAACTCCGTATTTTGTTCTGATGGGAGTTAAAAAAACGCCGGCGCTGCAGTCAGTGGTCTCGAACCTACCGATTTTTCGGTATTCCTACCGATTTGGCGCTCATCCTACCGAAATATCGAAATGGATCGATTTTTCTACGATTTTTTTTTTAAGGAATTTTTATCGATTTTCAATAATCCAAGTTGGCATCCCTATTTTGTTTTTCTTTTACAGGGACAGATAACAAAAAATTAACACAGGAATTTCCTAGCTCAAACGTCTGTCGACGTGTAAACGATTTATTTGGGGAATAAAAACTTACCATTTTAGGGGATTCACTGAGAAAATTTGTAGTCTGTATAAATAAGAATTCGGATTTCTTCATTCATTTATTTTCTTAAATTTTATTAAAGTGGTTGATTGTTAGTTTCGTGGTCTCTCAATCAAAATGTCATCGAACGAAAAACCAAGTGCAAGTTACAGTGGACCCTTCAAATAACAAAATGATACCTTCACCAGCTCAGTCGTTATCTTGTGGCTGCACGTTGAAAAGGACGAGTGAAGATTAAGGCATTTTGATTATTTCTTTATTCTGATCGCTCTTTTTGGTATTTTCCACGTCTTTTATGGTTAATTTCATAAGTTGGACTTGTTTATCATTGTTATTTGTTGATTTAAGTAAGTACGTACTTACCTACCTAGTATACCTATATATATACCTAGTATAGGTAAGCCTGCCTAACTGTTAATAGTTTTAATAATATCATTATTGAGTAAAATACTATTCCTACTTTAAAATATAGTATAATAGTATAATAGGGATTTGTTCAATTTATTGTTTTTTTTTATTTACCGATTTTTGGTCCAAATATACCGATATTACTTGACAACACTACCGATTTCGCATTTTGACTTTCGAGACCACTGCTGGCAGTCAGTTGGCTGGCTGTGCGCTCGAGTCGCGTTTGCATGTGCAGATTGTATTGCGCGCCGTTTACTATGGCGTGGGTGCTCGAGTCTCACGATTGCCAATAATCCATAGAATGTGCTTATCGACATTCGGAAATAATTACAAAACTTACAGGGATAAAGCCTCAAATCTCCATAAAGCGACACAAACTGTCCTTTTAAATATCTTAGATAACTGGGATGTAACCAATATGATTTTATTTTCCTTTTTGGCCTTCTCGCAACACAAATGGCTATTGCCAATAATTTTGAATTAATAATTTACGTGCACTCTGCAGCGAGTACGATTCACAATGATTTTTTAGCGTTCATATCAACACAAATTATATGTATATGCTCACTGTTGGGGACGGAAAAAAGCATTAAAGTCGGGTTTTAACGCAACGCTTTATAAGCGCTCTTGCGAATGATGCCTTATGGAACACACGCGTTTTTTACTCAAATTTGACCGGTGAATTTGACAGAAATCACTGAAAGGAGAATCTTTTCCATCCTCTAAGGAGAATCTACAGCAACGGAGTAGTTACCTACACAGACTATTAGAGAAACAAAATTGTTATTTTTAATAAATTTACACAAAAATAATATTAAATTCATGGCAAACGAAACGAATGGTGTCTCTCACAAATTAGAAACATTTTTATTTAGATTTAGTGGATAAAAAGGAACAGATAGAAAAAAGCGCGGGAAAGCTCGATTTAGGCGAATAATTGTAATTAGGTGGTCAGGGGTGTAGTATTTGTGTAAATATTGTTTATTTGATTGTATATATTGTTTTTCTGTACATTATCATCGTCATCTGGTGAGTTTTATCATTTTTCCTTTTGCCTAAAATGGTCGAGCCCCCTGAACCAGGCGGCACGGTCCCCTACGTTAGTAGAAATGTGATTATTGTCTCCAGTGATTCCAGTGTGGACACGGAATATACTGTTAACTCTTTAAAAGGGAGAAAACGTATTCGCCAGCGTAAAATCTGTAAACATTGCAATAAGAAAAAACGAAAGCACAAGTCTCAATCAGACAATGGATGTGGTTGTTCAGATGGCGACATTTGCGGTACCAAGTTTAATAATACTTCAGAAACTTTCTCGGCGCCTCCTTCATCTTCCCCGGTTCAGCCACGAATACAAATATTACCCAGAAAGACCAGGATTTGCCAGGGCGCCGATTGTTTGAGCACCATGATATCTCTCCGTATGTAATTCATGTACAAAGATTAACCACTTCCTTTAATGACGGATCTTCTATGCACCCAGTTCACTTTGGCAATTTTCTTAAAAAGAACGGTTTTAAAAACATAATTAACGGTAGTGTGAAAAAGATTGGCAGGAACAGAGTCACCCTGTCCTTCTCAGACTTTCAAAGCGTTATTTTTTTCTTGATTGACACTAGTTTGGTAGCTAGCAACTACAAAGCTTTTATACCTACCAGAATGGGTTTAGTTCGTGGAGTTCCTGCAGACCTAAACCCCGAAGAAATGAAAGTGTAAGTGATATTGTTAAGAAAAGACGTTTGAGCTATAAGGTGACTGTTGGTCGCTCGCAACCCCGTTGCGTTAAATGCGCAGGTGACCACGCTACTTCAGCCTGCTCTAGGCTTAAAGATAGGCCTCGATGTGTTCTCTGCGGAGAGTCCCACACCGCGAACTATCGCGGCTGTGCTAAGGCCCCCCGCCTTAACCACAAGGTGGCGGCGCGCACTGCGGCCCATCAGAAGGCTAGAACACAACCGCAGCCCTTTATGTCCATTCACGACTTCCCGGCCATCAGCCCCGCTCACGTAGCCCCACTATCGCCCCAATCGCCATGGGCAATCCCTTGCGCCAACGCCCCTGCGCACGCCGCTCCGAAGCAGGCAAGCCCCATCAACGCCGCGGCCCCTAAGGCAAAACCACCGCCTGCGCCTTCTGCGCAACGACCTCCAGCGAACACTCCACGCGCCCCTGCGCTGATACCACCACCGACTCACTCCCTTAAGGACGACCTGGCCCTCGTGAGCCACTTTGTTAGCACCTTCGACGTTTTCGAAGTACAAAATGTAGCCACGCTCCTCCGGGCCACCGACGGAAACGGCACCGCAAGTCTGCAAGCCATGTCGCAATTCAGCTCACTCGTAGAGTCCCTGAGCAAATTTTCCGCCTCTTCCTTCTCTCTCTAACATGGATTTATTGACCAGTAGGAGTAGAGTCAAGCCACGATATAAAACGTTCACTTCACTGCATCCCTCTCCCGACCCACTCCCTACAACGTACAGCTTTGGCCAAAAGTAGTGAGCACCCATGATAACTTACCGTTTTTTGGGGAATATGAAAATGGAATAATTTGAAACAATTTATACATGTTAATATTACCATTTATTCAATAAAAAATCAATATTTTGTAGCTCCACCCTTTGCCTTAATTACGGCAGAAATTCTTTTTGGTAGAGCGTAGACAAGATTTTTACAGTCTTCAGGACGTATAGCGTTCCAATTTTGGCGCAGACGGCGCGGCGCGGCGTTTTAGTTCTTCTATTGTGTTTATTGAGTGGCGCCTGAAGTTGCGCTTTAATAAACCCATAAATGTTCTGTGGCGTTTAGGTCCGGAGACTGGGCAGGCCACTCTAGAAGCTCAATATTCTTTTCTCCAAACTATGTCATAGTGTAGGCAGATTTATGACACGGCGCGTTATTCTGCTGGAATTTAACGCCATCCATATTTGTATCGCCAAAAAAGGGTTGAAAATGAAAAACCACTCAGATTCCAGGACGTTACTAACGTATGGCGTAGGGCCGCATGAACTCTTTAAAGTTCATGTGACTCTCACACACGAACATTTCGCCAGCTCCTGAATCAGTCATGCAGCCCCAGACCATTATGCTACCTCCGCCGTGTTTTACGATTGGTACTACACAGGCTGGACTAAATTTTCCACATATTGAAATCGATTAGTTAGATAAGATTTGAACCAGTTGTAAGTTACGCCCCTAATTCAAGTTTGGTATAATTTATGCAACAAGTTTTTGCATGCAACAACTGATTGTTTCTAATATGTTTTTAATGATCTATAAATGGCTAATGTGGTGGAGTGATTATTTCTAAACCCATTTTGATTTTCATGTAAAATTCTAAATTTTTCATAAAAGGAATACAGGCGTTTCATCATAGCTGATTCGAATATTTTAGCTGACGTTGGTAGTAGAGCAATGGGACCGTAATTATTAATATCTGTACTTTCTCCCTTTTTATGCACAGGTTTAATCAGGAATAACTGATATTTTGAGAGCGTCTGGAAAGATTCCCTCAAGAAACGATTGATTCACTAGTGTAGTGTACGGGACTGTTAATAAATCAGCGCATTTCTTTATTAATATAGGGGGCAGTTCATCGATACCATAAGATTTTTTGCTTTTAAGGGTTTTTATTATGCAATTAATTATGTACATCATCGTTGTCAGTTTATCTCTTATTCTCATATTATTATCAATAAAAATGACAGATATAGGTAAAATATGTACCTATAGTTGTATAAAAATATATTAAAAGGTCACTTTATACAATATATTGTCCGCTTACAGTGAAGCCTCGCTTATGCATTTTCACATAGTTTGTTTTTACTATTTTTGTTGAAGAAAAAATTACTAATGTAATATAGTATCCAAAAGAGGTATAATTTAAGTAATTAAAATGCTAACTACAAACATTATTTTACACCACATTTTTATCTCCACCTGTAAAATTACATATATTTCACATATGAGGTATTCACTCTAAGATGACGATATATACCTATTGTAATTGTCTATTACCTTAACATCAAAATTGATGTATACTTTTAAGAGGTTGAAATAAAAAAAGAGTGTATTTTTAGTTTATTTATTGCCTCTACCCTAAATCATCCTTCATTTCCAGAGCGATCTTGTTTTTTATTCTTCAAAGAAGTCTGAAACAAAAATATATATATAGTAAGATAAAGAGACCTAAATTTAAGACTGAGCCACCCAATGACGAAGAATGCTGAAGCTCTATACTCCTATGTGGGGGTCTTGCCTCAGTCTCTAGAGACGAGAGTCTTTGATCAGTGTGTGTTGCCAGTGATCACATATGGATCAGAAACGTGGTTCCTCCCTATGGGCCTCATAAGAAGGCTCAAGGTCACTCAGCGGGCAATGGAGAGAGCGATGCTCGGTATTTCCCTACGTGATAGAATCAGAAATGAGGAAATCCGTAAGAGAACTAAGGTAACCGACTTCGCTCGAAGAATTGGTCAGCTGAGGGCAGTGGGCGGGGCACATAGTTGGGAGAACCGATGGCCGTTGGGGCGGAAAGGTTCTTCAATGGCGTCGGTCCACCCGGTAGGTCGGGTGGACCGACGATCTGGTCGGAGATCGTATGGGGAGGCCTATGCCTAGCAGTGGGCGTCGTATGGCTGAATGATGAGACAGACAGATAAAACGTAAAAGCTAATAGAGCGTATTTTGCCATGACAGTTAGACGTACGCGATCGCTGCACGGTGGCACCGCCGGACTCCGCTCGGTGACCCCGCGGGGTGAGCGCGAAGAAAGTCGTGTCAAAATAATTTAATTTGCGCAAACTAAAATAGGAATTCTATACTCTTCGGAATTTTATACTCATTGCAAAGTTATAATAAAATTTTAAATAATATTATGGTGTACTAATTACACTGCTAAAAGAAAGATTTTGGCGAACAGGTATTTTTAAGAATAAGTCATTCTACGAACAGAGCGTTATAAGAATAAGTCATTCTACTAACAGGCCATAATAAGAATAGGTCATTCTACGAATAGGCCGTTTTAAGAATAGGTAATTTGTGCGAACAGGGCATATTTTTAAGAGTATGCCGTTTTGCGAATAAGTCCTATGTCGACTAATCCGGTGTAAAGCTATGCAAAAAGGCAATAAAAAAAACGTGGCGAGAAAATGTAGACAGAAGCTGCCTTCAAAACTTCCTGCTTACGTATTGGAACACGACGACCGGTGTGACGCCCGCGTTGCTGTTACATCGGCTAGGGCTCATTGAAAACCAGCGTCACAACCTAGCATTGGTTGTGAGTTTAGCTGAATGGGATCCTTTTGTACACGCCACAGCCGCACACATGTCAGTATAGTATTACGTAACTTGTTCTTTAAATGTTTTTACGCTGTTTTTTATGTTATTTCTGTTCTAGTTACATTAGTATTTATTTTTGTTTTTTTTTTATAATATGGCGTTACAATAATTTTTTTCTATTTCTATTTCTATTGTTACAGAGGCGTGGCTTACGCACACACCTCGACTTATTACGTAATGTCTATGCAGTACTCGAAAGGGTGCATGAGGCACAGCGTACACGCACTGAGAATGCTGGTGGAGTAGAACGCGATTTTGAGGAAAACGATACGGTTTGAGCTAGAAGTTACGGACAACGGGAAAAATGGATTAAAGGTAAAGTTATTGGCAAAGAAGGCTCAAGGCATTATAATAGTGGATGGGGGTAATGTTCAGTTCCTAACTAGGCATATTGATCAACTAAAAAGTAGGTCGAGCTGGTCCGATGTTACTTGTCCCGAGAGGTACACAGAAAAAAAAGATTTCTACTAATAAGAAAGAGCAATTTCTCAAAATATTTGCTAATTCTGAAAAAATATTTATTAAAAGTAATAAAATATTGTCATTACAAAAATACTGTAATATTATAATTTATTATAATAGTTTAAATTCCCCACCCTATATACAGGAGGTTCCAAATACTTATATAGCACGATATTTGGTTTAATTAAAAATGAATTCGATAATATATTTAAATCGAAAACATTAACTTTCCATAGAGAGACTAAATTCATGGATTGGGCAACAGTAGGTATTCATAAGAGTAGGTCTCGTTTGTATGAGCTATATGCTTTGAAAACTTATAATACTAATTCCAATTTCATAGAATATGTTAGAATTTATTCAAAAATATTTTAAAAAGTATGTGTTTTTTTTTTTTTTTTTTTTTTATTGTGACTCGGCAAAATGACTGCACCGCGCCTGATGGAAAGTGCGAATACAGTCCAGAGATGAGAGTAACGGATGGAAAACACAAATATCTTCACTCCGTCACTATCATTTTGCCGGTCTGGCCAAATGCTTCTTCACACTACGTTTGAAGGACCCGATGTTATAGAGGGGAGGGAATACATGCGCCGGGAGTTGGTTCCACAATTTGATGGTTCGGCATAAGAACGAATTGCCAAACTTTTTAGTGCGGGACGGTATTGAACTGACCGTCCAACTGTGGCAACGCAGTCCGGCACGGGTGGTCCGCTGATGGAAAGGAGAGGAAGGGATAAGGTTGAATAACTCTTCAGAGCACTCACCGTGGTACAGGCGATAGAATACGCTAAGAGACGCTATATCTCTGCGAAGCTGTAACGACTCCGCATGCTCAGTTACATGAGCTATGTAGCTGCTAAGGTTAGGTTTCACAGCGACAAAATTAGACAATCAATAAATAAATCTAAAACTACTTGGAGCATAATAAATAAAGAGTCAGGCAAGGTTAAACAACACGATAGAGATGTAGTTTTAGAATTAGACAGTAAATTTATAAAATCTAAAGATAAAGTAGCCCAAGTTTTTGAATCGTTCTTTTCGGAAATTGCTGTGAACACTACAGAATCATTAAATTCCTCTCCTTCACTTGCTATTGATCTCCTAGAGGAAAATGTTAACGTTTGTGGCAGTTTATTTAATTTTCATCATGTTAATCCACAAGACATCATAAAAGCTTTTAAATCAATACATGTTAAAAAAACTGAAGATCTCTGGGGCATATCAACTAAAATTATAGACTCAGTTATTGATCTAATTTCCCCACATTTACCTGTAGCTTTCAATAGGTGCGTTGACGAAGGTGTTTTTTCCGATTTAATGAAATACAGCAAGGTTATTCCCTTACTCAAAAGCGGTAGGAAAGTTGATCCTAGCAACTATAGGCCCATTTCAATTTTACCAGCTTTAAGTAAAATATTCGAAAAGGTTATGCTGACTCAATTACTGTCCTATTTCGGTAGGAATCATATTTTTCATAGTGAACGATACGGGTTTACTAGTGGTAGATCGACTAGCGATGCGGGGGTAGCGTTACTAAAACACATCTTTGATGCTTGGGAAAGGTCCCAGAACGCTATTGGTGTTTTCTGTGACCTCTCAAAGGCATTTGATTACGTTGATCATATTACTCTTATTAGGAAGCTGGAACATTACGGTGTAAATGGCAAGGCGTCGAAACTTGTCTCGTCATATCTCAACGGTAGAATTCAGAAAGTAGACATAAATGGTGTGACTTCTTTGAGTTCTCCGGTAAAAATGGGTGTTCCGCAGGGCTCAATACTTGGACCTTTCTTATTTCTGATTTATATTAATGATCTGCCATTCTTTGTTAAGGACCATTGCGAAATAGTGTTGTTTGCTGATGACACATCCTTGATTTTTAAAACAGACAGACATGACATTAACTATGACCATATTAATGATACCCTCTCTAAGGTAGTTTATTGGTTCAATGATAACAATTTATTGCTTAATGCCAAGAAGACAAAATGTGTTAAATTTGAATTACCTAACGTAAAATCGACTAGTCCAAGCATAGAAATAAACGGAGAAAAGTTAGACTTTGTTAATAAAGCAGTCTTCTTGGGAGTGACCTTAGATAGTAAACTTCAATGGTTTCCACATATATCTTCCCTGGCCAGCAGATTAAACTCCGCTGCATACGCAGTCCGCAGGATACGTGAGCTTACCGATGTTAGTACTGCTAGACTAGTTTACTTTAGTTACTTCCATAGTATAATGTCCTACGGGATTCTCATGTGGGGTAAAGCGGCAGATATTCAAACCATATTTGTATTGCAAAAACGAGCGATTCGTTCTGTGTACCGTCTAGGCTCTCGGGTTTCTCTCAGAGAAAAGTTTAAGGAGACTGGTATCATAACTGTGGCATCACAGTACATTTACTCAAATATTTTATAAGCCCGTAAAAATATACATAATTTCAATAAGAAAGAAGATATCCATAATATTAACCTTAGAGCTAAACCCAAACTCATGGTACCACGATTTCCTTTAACCATGGTCCATGCCTTTAACGAAGGTAAACAACTCTTTTATGGGGAACTGTATACGTTTTTACAATAAGATTACGGAGGATATATTAAGTTTATCATGTCCTAAGTTCAAAAACTACATTAAAAATATTTTGATCGAAAAATCATATTACAAAATTGAAGACTACGTGTTAGATAAAGATGTATAGAAAGACGACATGGTTCCAGAATCCACACAAATTTGATTCAAAGTGTATTCCATAGCCATTGACTTACAAATAAATGGACGACGGGTCTAATACAAAAACCACGAAAAAAATTTCCCAAGTCAACCTATTCGAAATTTAAATTGTAATGTCATCGCAGTATCGCGCTGTCAGTAGAACAAATGAAGACTAAAGCGGAGTGTCGCGCTCTGTATACGATTTTAGCGCCTTACAAGTGCGGACACTTTTTAGCGCGGACCCGACGTCCATATAATTGTAAGTCAATGTCCATAGCATTTAAGTTTATTTGAAAAGAGCAATCCCTAGAGTTTCTTGCTCGTTCTTCTCAGGGAGGTCAGCGTAGTGAACGAGCAGTAGCTTAAATGTGACGTTTTCAAGTGTAAATTTATTTTACCTATGGAATAAATAATCTTTGACTTTGACTGCTTATCTTTTTCTAATACAATTGTACTCTTAACTTTTAGACAAATACGTTCACTTCAAGATTTTATTTCATTTCTAATCAATTAATTGGACATTACTTGCATCAAGAAATATTTACCTCTTACATCAAATTTAATAATCTTAAATGAATTCAAAATTTCTTGGGTGTATTTTAAGAAAATATATTCTTAAACAAAAAAAGAAGTAGTTTGCTATTCAGATTAATAATCTAAATTCTAGAATACATTTCGTTGTCATACGTTCGTTTTCATAGTCAATGTTGTCGTGACATGTCGCCGAAGGCGCACGCGGTAGCGATTACTTTTATACTTGTGCTTGTAATCATAAAAATCATAAACAGTCATTTATCCAAAGAAACAATACGTAGTATCTCTAGTTTGTTAGGGTGTTATTTGTAGTCATAATTTAAGAAATTTGGTTTCAGCATGAAATCAAACTACAGTTGTAACAACCACAACTTTAACATGCAATTAGTTCCGTCACGCCACTGCTAGATGGCATTAGTTGTACTCTGAAACGCGCTATCGTTTTGTTAACTTCAATAGTATAAGTCATCTTATATACTTTGAAATGTTAGTGCTTTCTGCCGCTGTAGCATGTATACGGCACTGAATGGTACTCAAGTATTTGAGAAGATTCGTCCTATTTCTGCTACTTTTGTTTAAGGTTTAGCACTGAACTGTGTGCTTTCACGCCAGTGAGACAGACATACTGTTGGGTCCATAACCCTGTAAATTTACCCTTTTTGATATTAGAAATTAGAAAACAATTTCGTTCGAGGAGTAAGGTGTTGGTGAAATTACAGGCAAATGGGACTTGTCAACTTATGCCTCAGGGCGTCGGGCACAGTGGCAGTGCCCCTCGGATCAATATGATTTAAAGCTCTGACTGGTATTGCAACTGTTAGGAACAGGCATAGGCGTGCCGTTTTCCACCAGGCCCACGACTTGTTCGTTCCTTCATTTATAGTATTACACAAACTTAAAAGTTGAAGGCTAACCGGTTTCTAAAAGAATCACGGAGCGCGACAGGTGCGAGTCGGGTCGGGACCGCGGGGCGGGTCAGGGTCGAAACACAACTGCGAATCGGCGCGATGCAAATTCGCAACGTAGAAAACTGTAGTGCGAATTGCTGAGATGCGATTTTGTGCGGCAAGGTATCTCACTGCCACGGTTCAGGTGACCATTCCATCGACGACTGTCAACTGTACTGAACGTACTTTTTTTAAACTAGGTAGCTAGATGGACCGTAAAAAGAGTGTTGCATTGCTGTTGTTGATAAGTATAGAAAAAAAACAGAAAGAAGATTAACATTGCAGGAACGCGCGACGCAAATTCTTGCGATGGCGTCATGCGAGCTCGTAGATTTCTGCGTAGTTTTCTGTTTCGAACCTAATTCCGTGTATTTATTTATATGGACGACAACACACCCAGCGCGCTTTAGCGTCTCTCAAAATAAAAAATTAAAAAAGGTAGTTTTGATTTGAATTAAGACGATGAAATTAACATGCTCTAACAAATTGACGGACACTTCTAGAATTGAATAATTTAAATTTAGACAGCATTTTCGCAGATTATGAGACAGACTGTGAATATTTAATTAGACATTTTTGTCGAAACTGTAGTGTACGCGTCAAGATATTTTGGTAGGGAATTTGGTAGGGAATACCTACTACCTATATATATAGGTATAGTAGTATACCTAACCTATATTAAGGGATAAGTGGAAGTGAAACCAGTGATGGCGTGGTAGGGAAGAGTGGAAAAAAGTGCACTTGTCCTCGCCAGGGGAGACAGTAGAGACTTGTGAAATAGGCCAATCGAACCAGGGACCTCTGCGTGGCAGCCCGGCACGGTAACCATGCGGCCACAGAATATTAGCGTTCAATATTAACATTTTGTGTGCCATTTAAAACTTCCCATATAGCAGGAACTCACTTTCACAAACGAAATTATACTTTTTATAACTTAATTTTCAAGAAACTGTCGATTTTGAAAATCGTTACTTTAAATTTTAAATCTCCGGTTGTGGCGTTGACTAGCGTGCGGTGAGCGCGGACTGGCTTCGAGCGCGATTCTTTGGTCGAATCACAAATTAGAAAGACATAGTATGGGAGAGCTGACGGAGGTCGCATCGTCACAAACAGACCGATAGAATGCAAGAAATGTTAGAAAACTCTTTGCACCGACAAGGACTAAAGGAGTGCTTTGACAAATTTTACATTTAAGTGACTATTCCTGAAAAAATTTTTTTTCTTCAAATTTTTCAAAATATTATTTTCTGACCTTATTATAACAAAAATTAAAATTTCTTAAGAAAAGCATCTTTTATTATATTTAGCAATTAATGGGTTAATAAATGTCACAAAATCATTCAAATAATATTTTATTACAACACCAAACAAAATAGAAACCCGTAAAAGGTATATGTCGTGATTTTTTTCAATGTAACATACATACTTAAAATCTGCACATGCAGTGTGCATCAGCATCAGCATCCGCTGAAGTATAAAGAACGTGCATCAGCAACACCCTGGTCGAGACCAAGTGGTGAAATTACAGGCACATGGGACTTGTCAACTTGTCTCAGGGTGACGGGCACTGTGGCAGTGCCACAGATCTTCGCGATTTAAAGCTCTGAGTAGCACTGCAACCGTTATGGACAGGCATGTAGCTTACCATCAGGCGCACGACTTGTTCGTCCCGTCACTTGATGTTATAAAAAAAAAAGTAATTAAAAACTTGTGTCACGAGGTCCCACACTTCCTTAACTAAATAAAACATACATTATTAAAGACTTTAAACAATAACACAAAAAACATCAATTTCATTTTTGCCTTGCTACAAATAAAAAGTGTGTGTGTATATGTGTTAGACGTGCGTCTGAGTGCGTGTGTATTGTAAGATGTGTTTAAATTTTTTATTATGATATATTATTCTAATTTTAATATAATTTATACATATTTATTTATTATGGCAGTGCTAAAGGATACAAATTGTGAACGCACAATATTTCCAAATTCAAGGAGTGGGTATGGGTTATTATGACACTTTAATACTGTGTTTTAATGTGTTATCTCAAGTATGAATCTTTAAATGCATTTTACAATTACCTTTTGAAACAAAAGCTTTGTTACAGTGGTCACATTTGTATGGTTTAGTATGGATCTTTACATGATGCTTAAGTTCATGTTTTGCTGTAAAACATTTTTTACAAATATCACATTCATATGGTTTATTACCAGTATGGGCCATCATATGACATTTAAATTGATATTTTCTAATAAAACATTTATTGCAGACTTCACACATGTATGGTTTCTCACCATTGTGGGCCATTATATGACACTGAAGTTGATTTTTCCTCACAAAACACTTATTGCAGATTTCACACTTGTAAGGTTTATTATCAGTATGGGTCATTGTATGACTCTGAAGTTGATATTTTGTTACAAAACTTTTACTGCAGATTTCACATTCATATGGTTTCTTACCAGTATGGGTAATTATATGACACTTAAGATCATATTTTCTTATGAAACATTTATTGCAAATATCACACATGTATGGTTTCTCTCCAGCATGAATCTTTAAATGTGTTTCAGAATATGCTTTACAGATAAAAGATTTGTTACAGTGCTCGCATTTGTACGGTCTCTCTCCAGTATGGACCCTTATATGACGTGTAAGACTTTGTTTTATTGTAAAACATTCATTACAAATATCACACTTGTATGGTTTCTCTCCAGTATGAGTCTTTAAGTGTGCCTTACAATTTGCTTTACTGGAAAAAAATTTGTGACAGAGATCACATTTGTATGGTTTCTCTCCAGT